AGGGGCATAAAGCCCCAGACAGCATAGCTCCTAGGATCATTGGGACACTCAAACCCCTCCACCACGATAAGGTAGCAGCCCAAGGAGAGGAAGTTTGCTTTTGTTCCATATTTTAAATGTGTTGACACAGTTAGTGCCTTTTGCAAACAAAATGTGTCATTTTGACCACTATGTCAATGTCTAGGCCTCTGCGTTAACTGTTTTGAAAATGTGGTTTTTGAGTTGACGGCTGCATCCAACCAGTCAAGAAAAACTGTGAACTGTATAGAGCTTCATCAACCAGGGCGTTTCCCTCTTTAATCCTACTACTTTTTAAAAATATATATTTTTAGCATTTAAATGGTGACTGGACTTCTTGTCTTACTGCAGTGTTTTTGCAGCCTGTAGAATTCCTCATCACTTAAGACCAACTGAAACATGAAGGTTCCTAAAATTTTAATGAGACACTGTGAGGTGTTCTTGGAAGTGTATAAACATTCCCATTAAATGTGTGCAGTTTCTCACATTTAGGTTTGTCTCTGAAACAGGAGCTGTTGGTGTAATGTTACAACAGTACAGTGTTAAGATGTCATCTTGTTAAAAACTATGTAGAAGACCTGAGAGATGTAATTTTTTAATACAAATATTTCATCTGTGACAAAACGTGTCTGGCTCTTTATGCAAACCAGCAAACTGGGTATACCTGGCTTTGATACCATTCCCAATCTCATTTCAGTCAATTTATTGAATTCAGCTGGAGAAAATGATGTAAGTTTAACTGTACAACATCGTTGTAAGTAAAGTTTTATTTATAAAGCACCTTTCACAGAAATATATTCAAAAGGTGCTGTACAATCATTAACAAAGTAAAAATGATGGAAAGATAAAATGAAACGGAATAAAACATAAAAAAACATAACATAATGAAACATCAAATCAAGATTAAATTCTAAAACTGTAACTCAGACACATGGTCAATGCAGAGCAAAATATACAAATAATACACAAAACATAGATAATGGGGGGAGAGAAAAATATGCCTGACGTTCAATAATAGAAAAACAGATGGCGAGCATTCACTATGGAGGTGGGCTGGCATTAATGGAGAATGGTTAGCTAAACACTTGAGTAAAAATGTGAGATTTTAGGAGTGTCTTGAAAGAGACAATGTTGTCAATGGAGCGTAGATTAAAAGGGAGTTCATTCCAGAGCCTGGGGGCCACAGAGGAGAAGGCACAGTCACCACGGGTCTTAAAGCGAGTGAGGGGAACCATAAGGAGATTTTGATCCTGTGAATGGAGGTCCCGTCTGGGGTTGTAAGAGGAAATGAGACTTTTAATGTAATTGGGGGCTTGGCCATGAAGAGCCCTGAAAGTGAGGACCAGGGTTTTGAACCAGATTCTGAACTGAACAGGAAGCCAGTGGATCGGGGAGATGTGGGTGAATTTGGAGGTTCGAGTTAGGAGTCTTGCTGCCGAGTTTTGGACAACCTGAAGACGATTTACAGTAACTGTTTCTGATTAAGACAGGTGAACAAGGTACAGTATTACAATAGTCTAAGCGACTAGAGATGAAAGCATGAATTACCATTTCCAAGTCTGAAGTAGACAGCCGGGGCCGGAGTTTAGAGATGTTCCGAAGCTGAAAGTAGCAAGTAGAAACCAGATTTTTTATGTGTTTATCTAGAGACAGATCTGAGTCAAGATTTACTCCCAGGCTGCGTACATTCTGCTGAATGGTTGAACTCAAGGAGCCGAGATGTTCTTTTATCCTAGGGATTTTCCTGCGTTTCCTTAGATTATTAAAAGTCTTATCCTTCCTCCATGATTCTGTAAAATTTGTGAAGTGACATCATGTCATGAGCTCCACCTCTGGGGAGTATAAATACAGGCAGCACTTGCTACAGTTTCACAGCAGGGAACAAATCCTCAAGGAGTTCTTGCTTCAGCAGTGTTTGAACTTCTTCTTTTGTCCAGCTTTATCTGACAGTCAACGCGTCCTGTTTTCTGCCCTTATTAAAACCATGGTATTTTTTGGAGTGCTGGTTATCCCTTTCTTATTTTTTTCTTCAGCTTTTTCAATGGATTCTCAGGTGCGTCAGAACTACCATCGCGACAGCGAGGCCGCCATCAACAGGATGGTCAACATGGAGCTGTTTGCTTCTTATACATACACCTCCATGGTAAGAAACTACCTTTTTATAGCATACTATTTAGTGTAACATTATTATGTTGAAATTATTTCTCAAACATGACTTTAAGTCTAAATTGTTGAAAACAGTTTCCAAACCAAAAGGCTCAGAATTTGGTACATCTATCAAATATGCTGCTTTTCAAAGCTGTTTTCATACACATTGACCACTGAATATCAGGTTACCCAACAATGTGTTGGAGCCACACATCAAAGTGCTTAGACTTTATGCTCTCAAGACATTTGGATGAAAACAACTCTGAGTTATTTTGACATAAAATGTGGCTTAAAGAGGCCACAATGTAACTGCAAAGACCTAAAATTACAGATAATTATAAATAAATCATGTATATTTTATAATATATGTTGAATGGGGTCAATGTAGTTACTGTCTGAAATTCCAACATGCCATATATCAACCTCCTTCTGTGAAGTCCTAATGTAATGTTTTCGGTCGCTTATGTCTGTCTGTCTGTCTGTCGGTCGGTCGGTCTGTGGACAGCATAACTCAAAAACATGTGGACGGATTGTCATGACACTTACAACACATGTTCATACTAGCACACGTAGCACACTATTAAATTTTGGTGATGTTTCGAATCATGATGCGGACACAGGATTATTTCTTTTAATTCGATCGAATCAGCCAGAAGTTGCGAGCTCCCACAGCCCTGCACAGAACTTTAGGAACGTGTTGCTAGGTTACGTGAATAACAGAGAAGCCGCGGGCGCAACCGAGCCGAACCTGGTACCGGCCCACGAGCTGAACCACCGGTCCCCCACCCGTCGTCTGCGCGTGGTGGTCCACTTCAGACCCTGAACCCGGTGATTCAGTCCATGAACCGGCCCACAGGCTGGAGTGAACCACCAGTCTGATGCGTGCGATTCGTCTGCGCAGGGCGATCGCGACATCAAGGAGTGACAGGTTATAATTTCAGCTAATAAATGATGAACATTGGGATGTACAAACTGCACAGAAAGTGCAAAGAAACTCAGAAAGAAATGTAAGAAATGTCAAACTGCTGCCAGGGGCAGCTGATTACTCTTCAAACTGACCACTGAATCTCCATCAAATATCACCATCTATGTTTTTCACTGTATGCCAAGCAAAATGTGTTAATGCTCACTTTCATTTTCTTCATTCTCCCCCTCTCTCACTCAACAGGCCTTATACTTCTCCCGTGATGATGTGGCCCTTCCAGGTTTTGCCCATTTCTTCAAGAAGAACAGCGACAAGGAGAGGGAGCACGCTGAGAAACTGATGAGCTTCCAGAACAAGAGGGGAGGACGCATCTTCCTCCAGGATGTCAAGGTGAGCACAAACTGGAAGCCCAAACATGTCATCTTTAGTTACTGATTTGTTCTAACAACTGTTCTGAAGAAACTTGATCCAGAATGTAAAAAGTATATGTGGGTTTCCCTGCAGAAACCAGAGCGTGACGAGTGGGGAAGTGGTCTGGAGGCCATGCAGAGTGCCCTGCAACTGGAGAAGAACGTCAACCAGGCCCTGCTGGATCTGCACAAACTGGCCTCTGACCATGTGGACTGTCATGTAAGTTACATTAGGAGTGTTGAGTGTCAAACTTACCACTTAATGATACGACTTGGAGGGAGGTTGAACCCAAATGCAGGCAGACTTGAAGACTTGAAAGTTTTAACAAAGAATTTATTAAATAAAAAGCCAGCGTGGTGGCAAAAACAGAGAACTAACAAAAATCAGGGACAAGAAAGCCAGGGCAGAACAAGAATCTAACAGGAACATACAAAGAATGAACCGACCAAAATTTGAACCCAGCAGGCAGTTTTTCCCCTCCCCACCCACGGCTGGTGCCCTGCCAGTTTCTCCCCTCTCTCAAATCCTGGGGCTCCTGGAGGGGATGAAGGGAGAGCTGGCGGGCCTAAGGGTTCTGGTCGCTTCAGGGTGCCATTCAGAGCAGGTGGCACCAGGGGTTTCGGAAGCCCACCCTTCCCACCCCTCAGATGTGGATCCTCCAGCTCCTGCTCTGGTTCCTGTTGGCCCTCCTGCTCTGGTTCCTGTTGGCCCTCCTGCTTTGGTTCCTGTTGGCCCTCCTGCTCGGGTTCCTGTTGGCCCTCCTGCTCGGGTTCCTGTTGGCCCTCCTGCTCGGGTTCCTGTTGGCCCTCCTGCTCCGGCCCTGGTTCCCGTGGGCCCTCCTGCTCCGGCCCTGGTTCCCGTGGGCCCTCCGGCCCTGGTTCCCGTGGGTCCTCCGGCCCTGGTTCCTGAGGCGCCTGGATCGGCTGCCGTCGCCTCCACGTCGCCTGGATCGGCTGCCGTCGCCTCCTCGTCCCCTCTGTTGCCTGTGTTCGCCTTCGCCGAGGCTCTGGCTCCATCGACCTCCGCCGGCTCCTCATCACCTCCCGCCTCCTTCCTCGGCTCCATGTCTGCTCCCGCCTCCTCCCTCGGCTCCATGTCTGCTCCCGCCTCCTCCCTCAGCTCCATGTATGCTCCCGCCTCCTCCCTCAGCTCCATGTCTGCTCCCGCCTCCTCCCTCGGCTCCATGTCTGTTCCCGCCTCCTCCCTCTGCTCCATGTCTGCTCCCGTCTCCTCCCTCGGCTCCATGTCTGCTCCCTCCTCCTCCCTCTGCTGCAGGGAGATTCATGGCCGGCCCCCTGAACTCTTGTGGGACGTCAGGAGCCATCCCTTATTGGGGGGGCTCTGTTATGATTTTTGTCTGTGTTAAGTGTTTTATTTTTTAGTTTCTGTCATGTTCCTGTTTTCTTCCTCATGTCTGCCCAGCTGCCCCTTATTTGTCTGATTAGTCACCCTCGTGTTTCTCCCCAGGTGTTTTCTGTTCCCTCATTAGTTTTCTGTGTATTTAAGCTCAGTCTTGTCTCTGTGTCATTGTCGGTTCATTGTTTGTATGTCCCAGTTGGATTCTTGTACTGCCCATGCTTCCCTGTCCTTGTTTCTTGTTAGTTTTCTGTTTTTGCCACCACGGTGGCTTTTTATTTAATAAATTCTTTGTTAAAACTTTCTAGTCTGCCTGCCTGCCTGAAATTGGGTTCACCTTACCTCCAAGTCGTTACACTTAAACTAAAATGACTGGTTTACTCAAGCTAATAAACGATCTCCTGTTTTCAGCTGTGCGACTTCCTTGAGAGTCATTACCTGAATGAGCAGGTGGAGGCCATCACGAAGCTTGGAGATTACATCACTAACCTGACCAGCATGGATGCCAACACCAACAAGATGGCAGAGTACCTGTTTGACAAACACTCCCTGGGGGGCAAGAGCTA